TAACACCACTATTTTTATGAATCTATTCCTATTTTATAAGAATGTAAAAAATACTGCATTCATTACATAGCATGTAAACAAACCAACTCTGAGGAGCATTTCATGTGAAATTCAAATTCTTAAATGCTGTGGATAAATAAATTCTTTACACATCTTAACCACATAAAATCAACAGAATGTACAGTCAGAAGTAATGATTTATCTAAAATGAAAAATTTGGAAAATCGTTATCTGTAAATACAATAAAAAAAGAGTTATGCAGAAAATATTAAATCGCTGAATATGAAATAAATTGGCTTCTTATATAGAGTATTTTTTGTTGAAAAAATATTTATATCGGGAAAACATTCCTGTTACATCATCTGCCATGCTGAATTTTCTAAAAATCAAAATTTTATTTGCATACATCCAAAAATGAGCTTGAAATTTGCAGATTATCAGAATTCTAATGTACAATGGCCGGAATTTCATAAGATTGCAACGATTTTCTTCCTCTCTTCTGTTAACACAAAGATCTAAAGCTTTCAAATTATATCAACCTTAATTTTTCACAAAGAAATCTTTCACACACACATACCAAAAAAAAAAAAAAACTACAAAAGCATTTTGCTATCTATAAGTCATCATCATCATCATAATGGTACAGCCTGATCCTTCTAGCTGGCCATGTGATCAAAAAGTGGGACTGGCCAGAAAAAAACATAAAGTCCAAAATCCGAGTCTTGGTGCTGAATTCCGAAACCCAACTCTTGGTATAATTATGACCAGCTACCCTTTATTAGATTTGCCTTCTTCAGGGAAGGCAAGGAAATAAGCTCTGGGGATTTCAGGTAACTAGTCTGCTAAAGCAGTTATGAATAAGTTAAATAAAAATTTCTTATTTTGGCAATACGAAAAACAAAACACTTTTCTCAACAAAGATAAATAACTCAATTTTTACTTGCTTAAATCCTTTACATCTCAGCTGAAATACATATTTAAAAAAATTTAATTTTGTGTTGCTTTTCAATAGGTAAATGTATAATACAAATACATGATGCAACCAAATCAGGATTTACTCTACAAAAATATGTAAATTAGCCATTTGATGAAAGAAATGCGTTTCTGAAGATTTTGGATAAATGTAACTGCTATTAAAAATCTTTTGAAAGATGATTCTGGTTATTTTTAATAAAATCCGTTATGTCTCAAAGACATCTGAATAATTCTCACTGTAGGATGGCTTAAAATATGACAGTTGATTATAATGATGTTATTGTTTCCTTGGTGTTGACCACTTGTAATTTTTGTGCCTTTCGAAACAATTTCCATAATCCGGAGATTTGTTTGCGTCATCTGTGTATTCTGATGGCTCTATTAGCTGAACACAACTGAGGAACAGCCACATCAAATTTAAAAGCAATGTTTATTACATTAGAAAGTGATTAAATTGTATTAATATGAAGGAAATACTACATATGAAATCACACGTGTTAATTCTTCAATCATCAAAACCAGAAGAGCATAGTTGTTTAGACTTACCAGCACACAAACTGAAAAGTAGCTGAATGGTTCAGTGCACTCTTTACAGATGAGGATTTGAGGTGAAATCTAATGCTAAGCCTGCAAAGACTTAGAAAGATAAAATAACACTAATGGTCCAGCAAAATATCATGAATACCATGCCTTCAATGCTGGTGTGGGCTGGATTTCCCTAGAAGTATAATACAATTCTGAACATCTTTTAGAGAGCTGTAATTGCTCAAAATTATTGGCACAATGAGCGAGTATACTACAGTAGTTAGTATTCCATTTATTCTTATGAGGAATAATAAGAATAAATGTATGTAAGAGCTTTATGCAAATAATTCACATAAAGCAAATCTGGTGAATAAATACCTCTAGAGCTAATGATTACTTGTATAGAGCAGCCTCCATATTCTCTTGACCTCTGCCCTTTTGTATTCCAAGTGGCTGCTTGTGTACACCCTTCACATACTTTCAAGAAGCTGGAAATTGCTTGCTTAGTGTAATGGCAATTCTTTTCCTCTTATTTAGTCAACCACTTAACTGAAGGAATAAGGCGAGTTGCATTTATGCGTAATTTACGCTTTCTTTTAATTATACTGTACATACATGAACAATTGCAATTGTATTTAATTTCCTCTAGTTTTTAAACATGAATATATAATTAAATTCCCTCCTTTGTGCAAAATTTTGAGTCAATTGAGCTTAACTTTTTCAGTTATGTTGAATTTACTGTCACATGCTTTATGTTTACTCTTACTCTGTTCAGTTACATGTGGGCAAATTTATTGGAAAGACGATTGGAAGATATACATATTATTCAGATACTCTCAAGAAGTTCATAAGTTTTAAGCATAAAAATTGTTTTATTTCATACACTGGTAACATTTATGTTAGAAGATACCAAACAGTTAAAAGTTTCAATACTTTTGGAAAATCTTAATCTTCATTCATTTCTTATATATATATACACACTCACATATGCTATTGATGAGCTTCTGTCTCAGGTATATTTGTGAGGAAAAGTTTCCCCCCCCCCACTAGTTAGATGTGCCCATGTATTTAAACATGTTCATTACTTTTTTAAAAACTTTTCTTTCAATATATCATTATTTATGAATTACTCTTGCCCCTGAAAAATCCAGCTGCTTAAAATAGAGGTCTCCAAATTTTTGGTCTCTGATACACTGTTAAAAAAAAAAAAAAAAAAAAAAAAAAAAAATTTAAAAAGTAATTGAATAAAGTATATTTTAAGATTATATATTTTCAGTCTCATCACAATCTTCGATAAAAAGATAAGTGTCCAAAGTTTTGAACATTCCATTCATAAGTTATGTTCTTTAGCTACATTATTCTTTATTTTACTAGATATCTATTTCATGTAAAAAATAATATAATTGAACATTTTCCCGTGATAAAAATTAGTGACAAAAGATTTAAATTCCAGGACTGTATTTAATGTGTATATTTATTTAGTTAGTTTTAATTTGGGGACATATATAAAGAAGGGGATGGAGATAGAAGACAATGATGAAGCAGTGTAAAAAAATAATATCAAACAAAGCCAACTTGAATAGTGACAGATAAAAAAAACACCTAACGTTATTTACTAGTTTTTTACCATTATAATGATACATTTTTGTGTAGAAGATGCATTGATCCCTTTTCATGACTTTGTCTTTCACATTATGTTTTTCCCTCAAAACCAACCAAAAGTGAGCATAGTAAGTATCCAAACACATTACACATTTTGTACTTATTGTTATGAATTTTGTATTTTGGTAGCTGTTGTTAATAGAACTATAATTAAAATGTTTTATTTCCCCATGCAATACAGCATGAGACGAGTTGTAAGAGAAAGCTATGCCGGAAAAGTAAAAATACAGACGCATGTGCATTTTAAACATTGAATAAAAGTTTATCTCGGTAATTTATATTTAATTTGAATAAATGTAATTGACTACTATGTTAGATGTAACCAAAAATATACTCTTGTTGTTTTCCAGAAATCTCGAGAAGCAAAAATTACTAGAAATTCCTCGCGACCAATTTAAAGCTATAAAAAAAAGCCAGACAGAGAACATTTCAGCTCAGTTGTTTAGTTAGCTGCTGTTGTTATTTTTGTGAGTTCAGATGGGATTAGCTTTCTGTTTGCATTGTGTTGTATTATAATGTTTTCAGTAGTTTAAAGAATAACTACTGATTATACTGCTGGATATTTTGAACACTTGTACGAATACTGAGAAAAATTCAAGCATTATGTTATATTTCTTTTGATAAGAATAAATTTTATTAACCTTTTATCGGACTTGTGTATTCAATTTATTACGAACCTGTACGTATATATATATATGCAAGATAAAAAATATATATAAACACAAATTATAATTTCAATTAGCAATAGCCCTTAAATGCTTCATTTTATTTCCCCTGCATCATTTTGAGACTAATCCATGTCATATGACTCTTACACTGGTGATATAAATTGAACTAAAACTCAAACAGCCAATAATAATTTTGCAGCAAAATTAATTATTCAATCAAATGCATTGAGAACTGAAATTAATTCATTCTGAACACAAATTACTAGTTTTTTGTACTTCAGCCTAAATAAACTGCTGCACTGCTCTCTTCTTACTGCAAAGCTATCAAAATTATAAATGTTTTGGAAATAGGTAGAAGTAGTATGCCAATTTATTTGTGGCTGCAAAATTTCCCAAAATAAAAATGAATATTCTGCCTTGGGTGCCAAGTTGCTCTATCATTACAGATCAACTTTCTACAGCATCAATATTTCTACAATTTCATTACAGCTACGTTTGCTTCATTACATATCTGTAATATCTAGTCTCACATTTCTTAACATATGCCTTTTAACAGCCTTTTGTTAGCCTCTTCTTCCATATTTTTTTTATATCACCCCCACCTTTTTTTTCCTTTATATCATTAATTTATCTACTAATAATGAGATAAATCATCTGGTTCTCATAAAATTATAGAAGCTATCAAAGTCCTTTAAGACACATATATCACTCTTTCTACAGTCCAGCACAATGTTATAGTGTACATTGTCCAGTACAATGTTAAAAATCTTCTGAGTAAAATGAATATATAGAATGTTTAATTCTCCATATGTTTTAATTTACTTTTCTATACATAAAAAAAAACTTCAGTCTTACATATGTTTTATTTGTGTAAAAAAATATGGGATTCCACTTTTATCGAATAGAAAAAGACTATCTGTATTATATGAGTTAAAGTCAAAATATGTTAAATGCCAAATAACAATTATTGTAGGCACTAAGGCAACAAGAATTCGTGCAATATTCATAAACTTGTAGGACTAGTTTTGAAGGTTCCATATTCAAGCCTTTGAAACTAGTCCTCAAAGTTTATGAACATTGCACTGATTCTTGCTGATTAAGCTCTTCCAGTAACCTTCTGTATTATCACTGAGATCTCAAAAGTAAATTATAAAAAGAATAGTTCCAATATATTGCATATTAAGATATTTATTTTTATCCTTTGCTTTTACAGCATAAGTGCTTCTATAATCTTTAATTAAAATTTATGAGATATATAACAGAATGTGATCTCTAATGATATTTACAGTATTCTACAAGTAAAGCTTGAGAACCTAGATTAATTTAACAACTGAAACTAAAAAATTACATGTTGTCATGTAAGTTTTTTGGAAGACATAATTTCTTGGTTATAAGAACAAGGAATTAATGCATTCAAATTTCCAGTGGCTGGTCCTCTTGGTGTTAGTCCAAGAAGCCCTAATAACCTTGACTTTAGATCCACTTGTTTCAAAACAGATAACTCATCATCAGGAATCATCTGCAAAAAAAATTCCAAATCACACAGTTTAAATATTTTACTGAAATACTTAAAATGCATGTAATAATATAACCAGAAAAATCACAAAGCATATTTTTTATAAATATTGCTGTAATATAGTATTATTCTACATGCAATGTAATTTGGTATGTTTTGCTTTCTGAAGGCTGAAGAAAAGTATAATACATGCAAAACTATATACTTCAAGATTTAATTCACAAAGGATATTTAATGGAAACTGTCTCCGATATTAAACACATGGAAAAACTATGAAAAATACTCTTGCATAGCTAGTTGTTCTCCTAAAATATAAATCCAAAATGAAATTACTAAAGAATAGTGGTCTTATTTACATGGCCACTCATGAATTAACAATGTAAAAGGCGGTGAAAAATAAATGTAAAACATGGTATATAAGAATCATTGTTTTTAATCATCTTTTTAAAAAATTTAAATTGACTTTTTATTTTTAAATAAATGTTTTCTTAAAACTTTATAGTTCAAGTCAATATATTACAGCATTTAGTTACATTAATCTGTAATTAAAGCTTGTAATGCAATACGTCTAACAGAACATTAAATACATAATGTAGCTTTTGATTCTGAAACTCGATGATTTAAAGCAGTAAAGAAATAAACAGGAAAAAAATCAACTGAACATTCATTTTATATATACAGAGGTTGAACAAAAATATGGAAACACTTTTAAAAAAAACATGTTTCTTTGCTTAATATGGTGTACGAAACCCGTTGGCATTCAAAACAGCTTGCAGTCTTCTCGGAATGGATAAATACAGTTCCTGTATGTTTGCCAAGGGAATATTATAGCATTCTTCCTGCAAAACGGTGGCAAGTTCAGATAACGATGTTGGCGGTGGATAACGAGAACGCACTTTCCGTTCCAATGTAGACCCCAAAGGTTCGATAATATTCAGGTCTGGTGACTGTGGTGGCCAGGGGAGATAGGACAACTCATCCTCGTGCTCAGAAAACCAGTCCTCGACAATGTGAGCTGTGTGAACAGGGGCTTTGTCGTCTTGGAAGGCACCATCACCATCGGGGAACAAAGTTTGTACCATGGGATGAACTTGATCGGCCAAAATGTTCACATAAGTCTTGGCAGTCATGCGCCCTGACACAGTTATCATGGGGCTAGCAGAAGAACCACGATATGGCTGCCCAAACCATAACAGAACCCCTGCCATGTTTCACTCTTGGCAACAAGCAGTCTGTATTATAGGCTTGAGATGGCGTTCTCCAGACGTAAACTCGGCCAGAAGTGGGAAAACAATGTGAAAGAAGACTCGTCAGACCATATATTACTCGCTTCCACTGCTCTATAGTCCAGGCTTTATGACTTAAACACCACCTTTTCCTGTTACAGGATTAGCATCACTGATGAGTGGCTTCTCAATTGCAGCACGGCCAGCAATTCCCTGTTTATGAAGCTCCCTTCTAATTGTTTTGGTACTCACAGGGTTCGGTAACACAACATTCATTTCAGCAGTAACTTTTGCAGCTATGGTCTTCTTATTTTTCGTCACAATTGCCCTTAATGATCGTTTGTCACGATCAATCAGGACACACTTTCGTCCACACTGTGATTTAGCAGATGATGTTTTTCCGCTTTTCAAATATGCAGAATAAATCTTCGATACAGTACCTCTTGAAACACTAAACACCTCGGCTACCTTCCTTACGGAAGCACCTACCATACGTGCTCCAACAATTTGCCCATGTTCGAAGTCTGTTAACTCTGACATAATGCAATGACAACCTCACATAACAGTACTCCGACAACAACTGAACTGTTTAGCACATTTACGAAGTTGTATAGGTGGCGTCAGTAGTCAAAAACGCCAGCGCCACCTACATATTTCATTAAAATCAATCTTTCTTTTCAAACATGCATTTCACAAGGTGTTTCCATATTTTTGTCCATCCACTGTAGATATATATTGGTATGGCAAAGAAATGTTATTTTCATTCTTAATTCATGTATTAAATGCTAATGATGAGCATTACCAATTACCAATTTGATAAAAAAAATGTAAGCTTTGGAATTTTTTTAAGTCTTGATTTACTTCTCAATTTGTGCCATACCAAATTTAGAAAATTTTCAATCAATAACAACAGATGTTATCTCAGCTATGAATAATGTTTCAACACTTACTTCTTTTGCTCTTGTACACTCTTTTAGCATAGCTATGAATAACTAATACTGCAGTTCAGACACTTCTTATAAAGTTCTTCAACAGTGAAAGGAAGGTGATACTGATATTATTAACTTCATTAGCATTCTAAAGAAATTAATATCTGGCTATATTTCTTGTAAAAACATTATAGTCTTTTCGTTTTTCCCTTCCCACTAAATAAATAATATGAAGTATTTTATTCCTGAATGTTTAATATTTTAATTATAATTGGGACTCCAGACTTTAATGATCTCATCAATGCTCAAATACAAATAATAAAATTATAATTATAGTATATTGCACTGTTCTCTCAATCTTATTACAAGAATATTAACTTAATTTCAGCAAAAAATTTGCAAATAGTTCTTCATTTTCCTCATCTGACATCCAACTATTTTCTGTGACTGCCATTGCACAAAATAACATTTTGGATGAACAGAGACTTCAAATCGCACTGCTCATAACAAAGCCATCGCAAATTTATCTTACAAATTAGGAACAATCAGCAACTCTGAAAACAAAAGCTTCAGGTTGCCTGATTAGTTGTTTAGCCAACATTTTAAAACTGATGTTATAAGCAAAAATACTATGTGTGCTTGAAAAAATTTCTTGGATTTGGACCTTGATCTTAAGCTATACTTCAACTTACTGTGATAGAAATGAACTTCAAGAAAGTGAGGTCGAATTTCAGAAAGGTTTTGCTTCAATTTACTGTTATCAATGAATCCAGTAATTATTGAAGGATATGGTAAAAAGATATGAATAAATCACTTAAAAATAGGAAATATATTCTGAAAAAATTTGCAGTTATTAGAACAATCAAAATTTTGGAAGGGTTACATATTTATGTAGAAATTTCAGCTGCCCCTGCTCCAGTGCCTACTAGGAATATTTACAAATCATCTACAACATTCATTGGGAGAAGAAAAGATCACTGAAATTAAAAAATAAATAAATAAATAATAATAAATAAAAAAATAACTAAAAAAAACTGATGAAGGTGATTGACTTTTGAGGCAATTTTTTTTTCTTGGACTATCAGTTCTAGTAAGATTTATAGACCTACAATTACCATATATGTATCTGCTAACTTTCATGATTTTTGCAGTTTTTATGAAAGTTTAGAGTTTTAAAATTTTATATCCAACTCCCCCTCACAAATTTTGTAATTTTTTTGCTAAGAATTATGCTAATTTGGTAATTTATCATCAGATTTGTATTTAAAGTGAATATTTTTAGCAGCAATTAAGTTTACCATTTAAATTCAGTCTCTTTACTGCACAAAAAAACATTTTCCTTTCCTGAGATTTTTCATTGCCAGGTTTCAACATTTTTATGATTTTAAAAACAATTTATGTACAAAAATTTCGATTTGGTAGTTTGAAAACTTGATGACAATTCTTTAACAAACATAGTAAAAGGATAAAAACTTATTAAAATTACATTTTGATTTGCATCTCTCACGTTTTAAAAAATGTCTTTACCTTTCATATTAGCAATTTTCAAATACTTCGCGAAAATGAACATATTGGTGATTTCGCGAGCTGAAAATTTCGTGAATTTTATACAAACAGAACCGAAAGTTGAAAAATTCTAAAATTACATCTTTTGCATAAAGCATTTTAAGAAACTTCCTTTTATCCGAAACGTTCATTCCCCCTCCCCCATCGCTCTCAAAACAACCCCATGATACAACCCACGGTACGGTGATTGACAAAAATGTTGTTCCCCCTGAGATGTTTGTTAACTTTGATCAGACAAATGCAAAGTTTGTGCCTACATCTAATTACACATTGGAAGAACATGGTTCAAAACAAGTGTCTGTAATCAGCATGAAAGATAAAAGAGAGATGACTGTTTTGTTAGCATGTTCCCTTGCTGGAAACCTACTTCCACCACAATTGCTGTTCGCTGGAAAAACAACAAATTGTCATCCAAAGTTTACATTTTCCGCGGATTGGGACGTGTGGCACATCGATTTGATACATCAAAAATATTCTTGTATCTTATTACGACAAGCAGAGAGAGCTTCTTGGGATAGTTCTGCCTCACATTGCATTGCCAGTGAAGAGGTTTTGGGCCAAGCATGAGGTCGAGGAGCTACATCATCTGCCATACTCCCCTGACTTCACCCCCCAGAATTTTTTTATTTCCCAAACTCAAAACTGTAATTAAAGGAACACACTTTATGGATGTTGAAGACATCAAGAAGAACGTGACGTCAACATTGAAGAGCCTTCCAAAAAGAGGACTTTAAAAGTTGTTTCCACAACTTATACAGTCAAGCACAATAGTGTATTACGGCAGATGGGGATTACTTCGAAACATATTAAAAGGTTATGTTTTTCACATCATATGATCTGGTGTTATTAGAGCAATTCTGGAAATTAATAGCCACACAATGTAGAATAAACATGCTTTACAATAAGATTGTGATGACCTTCTCAAATTAAAAAATTATTCTAATCTTGTCACATGGGCATGTATAGAAAGAAATTTCTCCATAAATAAAGATTTTAAAAACTGACAATTTAAAAGATTCATCTCATATTTTTAACATGTATCATTTCATAAAGTTTTCTGGAGTTCAAAGATGAAGAGAAATGACTGAGGGGAAAAAAAAAAAAAAGAGTTTTACAAAAAGAAAATAAAATTTTTCTTCCGAGGGATGTTGCTGAAGTCATGAACAAATTAGCAGATACTTTAGCAGGTATTTAACCCGTTGAGAGCTATGCATATTTCTTACGCAATCCCAGTCAGGCCATGCATGCCGCTTAAAAGTGCTGGTATTGTAGGGCCAGTGATTTTTATCGCAGTAGAAGATAGTTTACGTTTGGAACGTGATTCCTATAGGCATTCATTCAATACGTTACATGCCAAGTCTGTTTTGTTTTCTTTACCGTTTGCCCAACTAGATAAGATTGTATCGAAATGGATTCGTGGCCAGTGTTCCCTTTACAACATACCAGTTCTTGGTTCCAGTTTCATTGCAGTTCTTGGCCCCTTACAGACAAAAATTTTCTTTAGCCTTGAGGGTCAAAATGTTAGTCCGAGACTGTGAAAGCGATAGCAGCAGTGAAATTATTCTTGCTAGTGTCAGCCACAGATGGCTCACGTGGCACTCGAGGTGTTAAAGACTAGCAAGAATATTGATTTACTTTTTAAAGCAAATGAACTTAAAGTAGTTAAAGAAAAGGAAATAAGCATCCATAAGTTAAAACATCCTTAAAATTTTCAGATTAAAAAGATGAAAATATTTTGTAATGTTTTCGATGTTCTTTATATGTTAATGTATAATTGTTCCAATAGCTTAAAGCCAATACAATAAATTACATACGTAAATTAGCTGTTAGTTTAAAGAGTAAAATACCCTTAGAATATAACTTTTAATAACACTTTTTAATGAATATTTTTAAAAAGTAAACCATTTTTTTAGAAGTGACCATTTAAATCTACTTTAAAATATGTACAGCTGTGATGTGTTTCAAGAATGTTTTTCATAATTTAACTACTTGAAAACTTTTAAAGAGTTGATTTCATTCTCAAACTTATGTTAAATATTAGATCATACTTAAAAATCATGCATCCTGAATACTTCTGCTTTATTCTTAAAAAAATATTACAGGAATGAAGGCATTTGCATAAACAACTGCTTTAATTTATTCAGTTTTGTTTAAGGATGTGTTCTTCCTTTTTTTTTTTCAGTGCCCTTAAATGTCCTTAAAAGTTCTTAATGTCCATTTTAAGACAGATGCGTGTAAGAACCACATGTCAAATAATAGGGTAAGAAATAAATAATGAAACAGGGATTACCTTATCACAAACATGTTTGAATATTAGACCATCTGGTCCTACACTAAATACCGAAAATCCATCCAACCATCTGTAAATGAAAAGAATACACAAATATATTTGCAAATTTAAAATACAATAGTATAACTTACAGCTGCATATACTTCCTAAAAAAAAAGTGCCATGAAATTAATACAAAGTAAATATTAGGCATTTGCAGTAATAATATTCCACAAACTGTATAAAAGTATTTTTATTCTAAAATTTTAGATTTCAGTATCACTAGTAAATAAATCCCAAAAATTTTAAATTTCTACTGGCTAAAGGATTCATTTATCTATATCGAATTTCTCACTGATTATTATCAGTCATTAATTATGCTTTTAATTTTTTCCTGTAAATGTATTTTACTTCAACATGAATCAAGTTTACATTTTAAAAATACAAGTAAAAAAAACATTATGATATAGGGGAAAAACAGAATCAAAATTAGAGACATAACAAATATTCAAATTTTTTAAAATATACTTACTCTGTCTCTTCTTCAGAATATTCTTTCCAACGAAGAGAATTCGTTTTCCACAACCTCATCAGGACTTTCGTACGAGTTACACCATTAACACGCCACCTAACCCTGACAGTTCCATCTTCTATGTGATGAGTTATTTTTAAAATTTCTACTTTTACTTTGGCATAATGTATGTATCCATACAACTTTATTAAGTACATATTTTGAACATAAGCTGGTAGACCCCTGAAAAATTACAAATATTTAAGTTTTTGATAGTTAAATGACATTCCTAAGATTGCTTCTATTCCAGAATACTGCAGTCTACTTTATACACTGGAGTGCAAAACTTAAGCAACAGGTGTTCTTTAGGCCATAACTCCACAAATAATCATCTGAGGACATGAAATTCAGAAATGAGAGACAGCATTTTGTATTTAAACGATAACAAAAGAATAGAAGCGCAAAAATGAATACAATGCATACAGTATGGAATCAAACAAAAAAAGGCTTTATTGAACTCATAGTATCGTTACAGATGATTGTCTGCACAAGAGGAAGAACAACAAGCAGATGGTCTTTAGTATGGGATATGCCCTCCTGTTACTGAAATGGTTGCTTTGCACTGTCGCTTCATACCCAGCATCATATTGTCCAACAAATCATGAGTTAAGAGTGTCCATTCCTCAATCAGCATCTGTTCAGTTGTTGGGTGTTCCCCGGAGGATGTAATCATGCCACAAGGAGTCTCCCTAAAGCATCCCACACATGTTCTATGGGATTTAAATCAGGGGAGTATGGTAGCCGATCCATTCTTCACTTTCCAGTAGCTTCTGAAAAACAGGAGTCCGATGTGGCCATGTATTGTCATCCATAAAAACGAAATCTGCTCCAATGGCACCTCAGAACTGATGCACATGGGAAAGGATTACCTCCTGACAATAGCGATCTCCGGTTACAGAACCTCTGTCGAAAACGTGGAGCTATGTCCGCCCGTGCAGCATAATGCTTCTCCAGATGAGAACTCCAGGACCACCGTAACGGTCTCTTTCCATGATGTTGCTGGGATGAAACCATGTCCCGACCTCTCTCCAAATCAACTGGAATTGAGAATCTCTTGTAGCACTAAAATGACTCTCAACCGTAAAGAGGACAAAACTCCATTGATGAGATGTTCAAGTTTGTGCTCCTTGCATCACTCTAAACGGTGGCGCCGATGGCCAACTTTCAAACGGATGCAGTGTTGAAAACGGCAGACCTTCTGCAAAAGGCTACCTTCAGCGTCTGGATATGGAGTCGTTTGGTCACAGTTAACCACGAACCTTGTCGCCCCGTTGCTGTACACACTTATTGAGCTACGACGCTTGCTGACTGGTTTCGGGCTCTTTTTGCCTTCGGGACGATATATCGGTCATCCAACAGTTGCTTCTGCGGCATCAACCACCAACCTTCTAAAACTGTACTTATTGTTTGTAAGGCTTCCAAGTACGCAATGACACTTTTGTTGATTCCAAAATCTTGACTACACTAGTGACACTGCTCCTCCTCCAGCCTTTCCATCTTCTTCCACTGGAAGTCTCCAGGTGATTTCTTCTAGCCATATTTCACGAAAGAACTCATTTGTACTTGCATCGAATGTCTTTAATTGCGTCTCCGTCCTTCCTTTTATTGTAGTCTCAAGTTGAGTGCGCCGACTGCACGTGTTTTGTGTATACTCACATTGCCTATGATGTTTTGTTACTGACATTTGCATACGCATGACCGTTCTACTGAATTGCGTATTCATTGTACTGATCGAAAGAACCCCTTCTCTGCAATTTTATGGCTATCTGATTAAAATTTACATTGTTGCTTAAGTTTTGCACAACAGTGTATGATGATTATTTAATTTTTGGGGTAATATACTTAAAATCTAAAAAAATTAATTATGCATTATATAAATTAAATGACAACAAATTAAAATCTTAGTAATTGTCTTTGTATCAGATGCTACCCTCTAATATCCGATTCTCAATGAAAAATGAAGATTTGTTGGCTGTGCAAATGAAGTTAAAATGATTCCTATTTTATTTAAATATTTCTACAGCATCTGTCACATGAATCTGCCTATAAAAGATACAAAAACTCTTTACAAATAAATATAAGACAGACAACTAAAAATTAGCAAATAATGCACAAAAAAAAAAAAAAAAGCCTAGTAAATAAATCATTTGTATTTTAAAGCTGAATCTGAAAATGCATCCATGCTCTAATATTTTCAACATCCTAGGTGGTCAACACAGTTGGCATCCCACATAAATGAAATATATTAGTAATTCAAAGCGAAATATAAACATTAAATGAATTTCAAAAAAGTATAAACATTAAATAAATTTCAAAGTGATGTATGGTAATAAACTCTTATAATTTAGTAATTAAACTGAACAACAAAAAAATTATATATATATGTCGTTCGGTTTAATTACTAATTTATAGGAATTCATTACATGCATCAATGTTAAATTCATTTTATTGTTTCATGGGGATGTTAATTTTTTTTTAAATTTTAATATATATATATGCATGCATAGTACAAATAACAAGGCAAGCAAATTTGAGTGCTCAATAATAATTAAAAAAAAAACTTTAATAAATTAAATGAACTGAATTTAGATGAAAGTTATAAAAATATACTGCTGGCCATTAAAATTGCAACACCAGGAAGGAATGATCTGATAAATGTCAAAATCGCATGAATGAAAGAAGAGGTTGGGATATGTAAATGATTAGTATTTCAGAGCAAGTACACAATGCAGGAGGAAGAAATGACATCTGAAGCACTGCACAAAAGAAAAGTTGTGTAGTGGATTTCTCATTCCAAAAGCGCTTTGTAAGGATCGAGAGTTTGCTCAGTATATCGTGTTATGCCTCAAATAAGATGAAGAAATGCTTATCAGCAAGTGTCGAAATTTGATATTGGCAGGATCTTTGCCCATCGAGAGTGTAGATTATCGCTCTGCGATATCACCTGCCACACTGGTCGACATCCAAGCATTGTCATATAAATATGGAATTAGTGGATTGCAGAGGGTTATGGTGAACGGCATGCAGGATATCAACGCCCAAGAGGACAGAAATATTGTGAGGTCAAAACCGTAAAGAGGAAAAACTGCATTGATGAGATGTTCAAGTTTGTGCTTCTTGCATCACTCTAAACGGTGGCGCCGATGGCCAACTTTCAAACGGATGCAGTGTTGAAAACGGCAGACCTTCTGCAAAAGGCTACCTTCAGCGTCTGGATATGGAGTCGTTTGGTCACAGTTCACCACGAAACTTGTCGCCCCGTTGCTGTACACACTTGTTGAGCTACGACGCTTGCTAACTGGTTTCGGGCTCTTTTTGCCTTCTGGACGATATATCGGTCATCCACAGCAGTTGCTTTCCTGCGGCATCAACCACCAACCTTTCTAAAAACTGTAATTATTGTTTGTAAGGCTTTCCAAGTACGCAAAACGACACTTTTGTTGATTCCAAACTCTTGAGCTACACTAGTGAACTCCTCTCCTCCGCTTTCCAATCATTCCTTCACGTGTGAAGTCATCCAGGTGATTTTTCTAGCCATATTTCACAAAGAACTCATTTGTACTTGCATCGATGTCTTTAATTGCGTCTCCGTCCTTCCTTTATTGTAGTCTCAAGTTGAGTGTGCCGACTGCACGTGTTTTGTGTATACTCACATTGCTAGATGTTTTGTTACTGACATTTGCATACGCTGAGTTCTACTGAATTGGCTTATCATTGTACTGATCGAAGAACCCCTCTCTGCAATTTTAGGCTATCTTTAAAATTTACTTGTTGCTTAAGTTTGCCAACAGTGTATGATGATTATTTATTTTGGGTAATATACTTAAAATCTAAAAAAATTAATTATGCATTATATAAATTAAATGACAACAAATTAAATTTAGTAATTGTCTTTGTATCAGATGCTACCCTCTAAGATCCGTTCTAATGAAAAATGAATTTGTTGGCTGTGCAAATGAAGTTAAAATGATTCCTATTTTATTTAAATATTTCTACGCATCTGTCACATGAATTGCCTATAAAGATAAAAAACTCTACAATAAATAGAAGACAGAAATTAAAATTAGCAATAAGGCACAAAAAAAAAAAAAAAAAGCCTAGTAAATAAATCATTTGTATTTAAAGCTGAATCTGAAAATGCATCACTCTAATATTTTCAACATCCTAGGTGGTCAACAAGTTGGCATCCCACATATGAAATATATTAGTAATTCAAAGCGAAATATAACATTAAATGAATTTCAAAAAGTATAAACAAATAAATTTCAAAGTGATGTATGGTAATAAACTCTTATAATTTAGAATTAAACTGAACAACAAAAAAATATATATATATTCGTTCGTTTATTACTAATTTATAGGAATTCATTACTGCATCAATGTTAAATTCATTTTCTTTATGGGGATGTTAATTTTTTTAAATTTTAAATATTATATATGATCTAGTACAAATAACAAGGCAAGCAGATTTGACTGCTCATATAGTTATTAAAAAAAAACTTAATAATTATGAACTGAATTTAGATGAAAGTTATAAAAATATACTGCTGGCCATTAAAATTGCAAACCAGGAAGGAATGATCTGATAAATGTCAAAATCGCATGAACGAAAGAAGAGGTTGGGAGTGTAAATGATTAGATTTCAGAGCAAGTACACAATCGGAGGGAAGAAATGACATCTGAAGCACTGCACAAAGAAAAGTTTGAGTAGTGGATTTCTAATTCCAAAAGCGCTTTGTAAGAGATAGAGTTGCTCAGTATATCGTGTATCTCACATAGATAAGAATGTTATCAGCAAGTGTGAACGAGATGGCGGACTTTGCCCATCGAGAGTGTAGATTATCGCCCTGCGATATCACCTGCCACACTGGTCGACATCCAACCACTGTCATATAAATATGGAATTAGTGGATTGCAGAGGGTTATGGTGAACGGCATGCAGGATATCAACGCCCAAGAGGACAGACATATTGTGAGGTCAAAACCATACAATCACATAACGTAACCATTAGTCAGGAAATGAGCATGTTTGCAGGATACAGAGTATCTGCTCATACAGTGTGTTGACGTTCCCAGCAGCATGAACTATCAATACAGCGACCATTACTTCAAGTTCCCTTGACAATGCAGCATATAGAGAGACAGCGACTCTGGTGTGGCAAACGACAAAGCGGGATACAGGAGTGGCAATGTCGTTTTTTCAGTTCCAGTTCTGTGTTAAGTATTCTGATGGCTGTTTATGTATATGGAGGCCCCGAGGAGACTGCACATCCTCTGCTTGCATTTGATATCGGCATAGGGACCCTGCACCTGGCGTGATGGTTTGGGTAGCCATTGGGTACATTACATGCACATCTCTAGTTCGGATTGACAGTAATTTGAACACAGATAGGTACATTTCTGGCATCTTTCATCCAATGGTTGTGCCCTATATTAGAGGCCTGCCAAATGCCATCTTCCAGCAAGATAATACAAGACCATATATTCCACGTCGTGTTTGGACCTTTCTCAATACACAGGGTATTCGATTGTTTCTCTGGCCTGCACGATCTTCAGATCTGTCACCCATTAAAAACATCTGCCCATGGGGTGCTGAGAGACTGGTCCGCCATCCCTCTTCAGCTAATAATATGGTTGATGAAGTGTGGCAGACTCGAAGCAGCATGAAATGAGTTGCCCATTTCTGTCATCGAAACCCAGTTTGACTCCATGCATAACCAGGTAAGAGCCGTTTTAGCTGCCAGGGGTAGTAGCTGTTTCTATTGATTTCGCACCCCTGTAAACCCCGACACTGCTTACAAAGTTAATCATTTTATCTTCATTCCATACTGTTTACATACAATAAATCTCCTTTTTATATTTGCTTTCCTTCATGGTGTAGCAATTTTAATGGCCAGCAGTGTAGAAAGTAAATTTTGTATCACAAATTGCTTTCTACAATTAATTTTTATTATTTTCAGACACACATGAAATAAATAAATTTATACATGAAACACCATTTACATTTTATTTAAGTAATTTTATTCACATATATTGTACTATGACAAGGACTACAGAATTTCTTTAGTTAATAACTTGCATTACACATCATTTTGAAATAAGTCTAAAATGCAATGTGAACATTGATGTCAACACTGTTCTGATGTTCTTAATGTCTTTTATTATAGTCTTCACTGCTGTTTGCATTTTTTTTTCTTCTGCATTTCTGCAGCCTTGCAGGCAGGACTGACACCAGGCATAGATAAATTATACAGCTCCTTGGAGCACCAGTTAAGCTTTTTTTATGAATGATAACTAAATGAAAGTACACGTCCTTTTGATTAATTATGTTTAATTTACTGCAAATAAATTCCAACTGCACTGATTGCTTAGGAGGTCGAAAATACCAGAGCCAAGCCTGTTTGCAGACATTAAGTCTTTTATTTTCATACACTTTTATAAACATACTCAGGATCTGTTCTGTTCAAGGAATGAACATCATACTAACATTCAGCCATTTTTAAAATAGTCAATTAGAGTCTCTTCAAAAACTTGCTGAAGTATTCTGTGAATTGTGGTATCTTTTACCAAATTTATACTGAAATGTGATGCATCTATACTATTTTTCCTCGCTATAATTTTCTCACTTGAACAAAAATATACCAAATACAGCACTGTAAACAATTCATGCAGAAAGGGGGATTTCCTATGCATCTGGCAATGCAGTTTAACTTAGCATATAAAGCATCATCTAGCTGAGTAAATAGAAAAATATGAGTGAATGGACAGCTTTTTCACACTTTCAAAAAATTGTAGCACTTCATATGTATGAATTTATATCAAATTAATATGTTGGTAAAGATATTAAATGAGAAACGGTCTAAGCACAAAAATACATATATAATCTTCCATATTTCAATATTTATGCTTATTTTTATTTGAAAGCATGCTTTTATTCCAGTTTTTAAAACATTAAATAAAAGTATTATTATTTACATTTTCATTTAACAAATTACACTAATTATTTTTGCTAACAAAATTAATGCAACAATACAGTATTTTGAACTTACTTTGTTGTTACTCCTTTGATGTTATTTTGAAAAATGATATTCTTGTGATATATTGAATAATCATGAGGTTTTTCAAAAAAGTTCAGCAGCTGTAAAAGAATGAATCTGGCTGTGTATAAAAAACACAAAAATTAATTTCTAGAGAAAATGCATAACTACCACTGTTTAAAACTCATAACGGCATTTAACTCTCTAAGCACTACAGCAAAATTAGATTATGAGATCAGATGACTAAATTTAATCTAGTATTAGCTAGTTTTCTAGTATGTTTCTCTAGTGGTTTCATGCAGGAAATCAGTGTATACAGCTAATTAAGCTCTGACTTCTTTTTCTTTCAGTTTTTTCACTAATATATTTATTTTATAGAAATGCTTTAATAAACATAAAAAATTTAAATGACGAATAAAAATGTGTATCTTTCAATTTCAAACTTTTGACAAATTTTATCCAAATTTTAATTTTAGAATTTCAAATTTAATTTATCACTTTATGCAAATAAAAGTATTTAAAAAATTGTACTTTCACATTAACCACATGCGAATGATTAATTACCAGTACGAAGTGAAGAGATTAAAGGCATTTAATTGTTTTGCAAAACTTTTTTAAAACCACAGTTCAGTGTGTAATTGCATTAGAATACTCATGTTCTAGTTTCTCTGTTTGTATGCCAAAATAAAAAGTAATTTTTCCAAAGCAAAGTAAATTTTTACATAACGCTTGATCATTATGAATCTGTGGAACTTATTTCAAAATGAATAAGTCTGTCTGCTATTTCCAAAAATATAGCATACTACTGGAAAATTGATACTGCAGTCTTTCACATCCAGTAAAGTTATATTTCAACAAAGAACAAATTTATTGGTAGTTATATCTATTTTTTTAACATCCCAAACAATTTTTTTTCCCTGGATGTATTTTTGCCTCAGCTTGGTTAGAAGGGTTTTTTTGATCAATTTTAAGAAATGAAGCAATGTATTCCACACTGTGAATCCACCACTGGGCGAGTGATAAGAATGCTAAACATTGGTAATTCAACCTGTGTTCAGATATTTACATCTAACAAATCAGCTGGTCTAGCAATTTCCGGTAATGCACCAGTATGTAAATATATAGATAACAGGGGGGGAATCTTAACACTTTTTATAGTGTCTTAGAAAGGGGGAAAAAGTAGGGGGTTTTCCGGATTATAGATCATCAATTTAAATCTGTAGATGGCATGCAGAAATTACAAAAAAAATGAAACTGTAATTTATGAATAAAGACAATATACTAAAGATCAAAATTTCAAAAAAAAAATAAAAGCTTATATTATGTGAAATATAAACATTTCTTCCTGTAAGTTGTTAAGTTGCTGTTTTTTTGCACAATACTTCTCTTTATTCTATAAACAGACATAATTTCTTGTTCAGTTACAAAGTTCCACTCTAAGTCGTGTAATTGCTGTGTCGAGAATACTGACTAACTTGTCAATCGAAATTTTTTCGTTTTCAATAATGCTCTCTGTTACTTTCTTCACTATCGTAAGAGCGCATGGGTAAACACTTTACTGGCTTTACACACATGCGTAGCGGACGCACGCATCAAACGTGCATGCGTAAGTTTGTGGCTTTGAGGTCCGGATAATGGACTTTGTACTGTATACAGTTTTTCTACAGAAAAAGCTACATAAATATTTTAAATACCTTACCTTGACATAAAATTAAACACGAGTTTTTATTTAACATAAAATCTTAAGTGATAAATAAATGCAAAGTTACAGTGTATATGTAAGACAGAAACAGGTTTTAGTACGGCATGATATTAAAATGAAAAAAATCTGTTTTTCAAACTAATGCAAAATAAAACTGATCATGAAACTTATTCTAAATAACAAACTATGAAATATTATTTCATCTGCAAATCACAGAAATTCAGATATATCTTAAGTCTTCAGAACTTTCTACAGTATTCCAAAATTTAAGAATTTTTGATTTACATGTTAAAAATAATAGTGTACTACATAGTAAATCAGCACTCAGGGCAAGGATAATCTGAAAAAGCACCAGTAGTATTAATGTGCATGCATCAAGAAATACATTCCATAAATATACAGGGTGATTATAATTAAAGTTACGATTTCAAAACGCTCTAACTTTAACCTGGCGGAAGGCACACCAAGAAAAGTTACTAGAACGGGTATCACATACCCCAATATTTAAAATACAATAAAAATAGTATATTTAGTTTTAAAACTTTTTTTTTTTTTTTTTTTTTTGTTCTTGTTATTATAAATAAGTGAATTATTGGTTTCAAAAAATTAATTTCCAAAATAATCTTAGAGTTAAAATTAAGAATAAAAATAATAAACATCATGCCTCTAAGTTCATTGCATCTCATACCCATGCTTTTTTTAGTTCTTACACTTTGAACAAAAATTCATGTGTTCTTGGCACAGAAGTTTCCCATTTAAACATTGCATTCACGCTTTCCGTCCTTGGGCGAGGGCAAAAAATTTAACACATCTTTCATACTTAGTTTTTCTAATTTCATGTATTCGTTTTAGTCCCCATTGAACTCTGTTTTTTTTGCAGGCAGTACGTCAATTTCTTGGAAAAGTAAATCTCGATCTTTGGCAGACCTTTTCATTAATTGTAATGCTAATCCTTCAAAACGACTTCTGTTTCTGTTGGTGGATTAGCAGTTGAATGTAATATAATTCAGATTTATTACAGCAACATTCAGGCAGGAAAGAAAATTACCATTGGCCACCTTCTTGTTTTCTGGCAATGAATAATTGGTTGAATTTTATCCCCCATATCCCTGCTCCGTCATATTATTAAACATATAATTTCTGGCGTTTTCTTTTCTCCAATAGTATCATCTATAGCATTATTGTTATGTAATGTTAAAAGCATGACAACAGTTTTTCCATTTTTGGAACATCAGGAATAAGAAATTTAAGTTTTGTCTTCTTCGAAACCAAACAGTGTAAAAAGTTTTCCTATTTTCATCTTCAGTTTCTGAAATACAGTCTTCATCACTTTCAAATATTTCTAATAAATCTCGCAGCCATTGCATTTTCAATTCATAGGGAGTCATTCTTTTTTGACATAATGCGCTTACAAATCTTTAAAAATTTAATTTGAAATACTTAAAAATCAGTTGCAAGTAGAAATATTTACTGTTACACTCTAGAAATAAATTTCTTAAATATATATTCAGTCAAAAAGACACGCGGACAGTCGCTTGGGGTGTCTCATACCCCAGTTGCAATAAAATACTGATTAATATTTTTCTGAAACAAACAGACAATGGAAAAGTGGTTCTGAAAGTCAACCACTACTAGAAACTCAGCTGCTGACAGCAGCACAGAATTTCAGTTTCACAAGTTAGGAATATTCCACTTTTATGTAGGGTTGGGGTATGATACACCCCACGCGCCTTCCCGCGGGTTAAAACTACTTGTCAGAATGATTTGATATTTTACTAGAACAATCATGAGGCAGTGGAATTTTGTTTGGAGAAAGAAAAAAAAAATAGTTTCAAAATATGCTGATAGATGGTGCTGTCATGGTTCACATTGCTGTTGGTATGCAAATTACTAAGACGTAACATGCGCACTGCAGATATGGCCAAGATAAAAAAAATACAGAGTATTAACAACACACATAACATTTTGCCCGAGTACTTCATCATGACTCTGACGAAGAAGGATTGTGCTCTTCTTGTGAAATGTTTCAGGCCTTAATAGCTACCAGGAAGTTTCGGTCATTAAAAGATATGAAATCTGGCCCAATGGGACATATACGGCCTGTAGAAAATGACAATAAATTCGAAGAGACCGGTTCATTTGATGTGAAATGAGGTAGAGGACGAAAACCAGTTTTGGCTGCGGCAATAGAAAATGTGGCCACAACGTTATAAGAATAGACAAACAGTGATACAGGAATCAGCAACGCACAGGGTATTGGTCAAAAGTTGGATATGCCCATCAGCACGATGTGTTAAGTCCTACGGAACATCTTGCACTGTTACCCATATAAGATAACTCACGTACAACAGCTGCTACCTGCTCACCTGGAAATACGTGAATCGTTTGCACTACAATTTCTTTCCCGGATGGACGCGGATAATGAATGGCCTTGGAATATTCTGCGGTCTAACAAAGCTCATTTCCATTTGCAAGGTTCTGTAAATAGGCAAAATTGCAGGATGTGGGCGATCAAGAATGAGTTCCAGCTACAGCCATTATCTTTTTACTCTGAAAAGGTCACTGCGTGGTGCGGAATAACGGCAGCGCTAATCGCCGGTCCGTTCTTCTTCAAAAAGATTGCACCTGCGTGTCCCATTACCTGCGCTGTTACTGGCAAGCGGTATGAAACACTTTTGTGTAAGCATGTCCTTCCGGTACTTCAGCAACGTCAGTGTGTGGATCGCACAATATTCAGGCAAGATGGCACTCCTCTGCCCATTGCTACTGGTGTGAAGCAACTGCTGATCACTCATTTCGGAGATGAAAGTATCATAAGCTGCCATTTTCTAACAGCATGGCCATCACGCTCTGCTAACTTAAAGCTGCGTGACTTTTGGGATATCTGAAGAATGCTGTTCACAGTGGGTGGACAGCGAATCTGGTTGACTTGAAGGCAAGCATCACACACTACATTCATAGTATCAGCACAGATACCCTCCGATCTGTTGTGGAACATGCAGTTTCGCACTTCCAATTAGCAGCGGAACAAGGAGGAGAGCATATCAAACAACTTAAGTGTTAATCATCCATAAGGTGCTTGTTTCGTGAAGCTTCTCTTGCCACTATCGCTGTTTTCTCTGTAAATATGTATTCTTGTCTTTTCACTAATTAAATTGTCGTAAACCTTTGGAGACTATTGTTTCCTTTCGACTATACACCCACGGCAGCAATGTGAAGACTGACGGCACCATCTATTGACAAATTTTGGAACTGTTTTTTTTTCTTCTTCAAACAAAATTCCACTACCTCAGAATTGTTCTGGTAAAATATCAAGTCATTCTGAGTCAGCAGTCAAGTAGTTTTAAAGTTAAAGCGTTTTGAAATTGCAATTTTAATTATAATCACCCTGTATTTTAGCAAAATATTTCAGTTACTATAAATCATTTAAAAACTGACTGAAAGATGAAAACAAAGCATAACTTTCTATTTGTTGAATTTTATACATTTCTTTAATAACTCTACTTTGATATCAAAAGAATTCCCCATCCCGCATGAACTATTTTACTTCTTTTGGCAATAACTTAAAAAGAATAACTTTACAAACAAAAAAACAAAAAAAAAAAAAAACTTTTTTCTGTTAATTCAAACTCTTTTGAACTTTTTTTTAAAAAATTCCACCATTATAAATTATCTGTCTAATTTTATATTTTAAGCCTTTCATAACTGAAACAAAATCGAAAAAGCAAGCAATCATAAAGCACAAAGTTTGCAGATATTTGCCTATCATTCCCTTGCAGCCGGATAAAGAAGTAGGTGATCGTAAAGAGATAAAATAAAAAGGACTGACAATTTTAAGCTGATATGAATAAAACAGCAAAAAAATTACAAAAAGTGACACATTGATTTCCAAAATAACGTTCTCTGCAAAGAAATTAAAAAAAAGAAGAAAGTAAAACAATCACTTTGACTTTCCTAGAGCTATCAGATTATCTTAACCTAAATTACAAGATTTTAATTACATTATAAACTAAATATTATGGAAAAAATTAATTAAATAAACATTAAAGTAGTTCTATATACTTTTGAACACTGTAGAACTCTTTCAAAATAACTTAATACATTTTTAATTAATGACAAACGTAATTTTTTACTTATATGTATCTTTTTCCTTCGTGTTTAACAAAACAAAAAAAATTGTCAGAAAGCAGACTACATATTCAAAATTAAACACTTTGTAGTTTCTACATTTAGATACATAGACAGAATTTATACTTACAATATTAGTTAATCTATTAATAATAATCATAAGTTGTTGCTCAGTTGGTTTGTTGATTTCATTTTCTTTTACTTCAGAACTGCCGTTTGATAGCAACAAGTGGTTTGATAATTCAGATTTAGTATCTACAGAGCTATTAATAATATCTTCTACTGAAGGTTGTTGTGAAGTTGAATATAGCAGAAGACTTTGGGAACTATTTGCAAAATTGACATCATAACAGAAAGACGATCGAGATAAAATATCTTTAAACTCTTTAGTCCGTAGTAATTCATCCAAATAATTACATTCATTAGGAGTAGTAACTAATCTAAAGTATCGAGCATCTATTATGTTAAAATTATCCTTTAGAAATGCCTCGCAGTGATACAGAGTTTCCAATTCTGGAGACTTATTTTGGTCCATCACCTGAATTTCATATCTGTGGCATCCCTGAAGTTGAGAATTTGTGCAGATTATTCTGGATATTAAGCAGTAGGGAGGATTTATCACCTATAAAAAGAGATAAGTACCTTAATTTCCAAAAATAAATTCTATAGCAAGCATACACTCAAGATTAAAAGTTGAAACTCACAGTTTTAAATGTTTTTTCCTTACCATTAAAGCCGTAAAAAATATCTCGCAAACTCATGATTTTAAAATCAGATCAGACGATGAAAGCCATTACAACCAAAAATAAAATTTCTAAATGCAAATGTTTTATTTAAATTTAGAAAATTATAAATAATTCAATGTTGAAGTAAGGTACTACTAATACCAAACTGTTTAAATTGACACCCAGCCCATTAAGAAAACACAAAAACTAAGAAACTAGAACAATAGTCTCAATAGTTTAATTCGTTTAATCCTTGTATACGGTGCATGAGATTTAGCGACTTTTGGCAACATTATGATGAGCAGTAAATGAGTCATTTTGGTGTTGCTGACAATTTTCAAAATCGTGCCAAGGCCGTACTGTATACTAGGATTTTACCGCTTAGTTGCTATTAAAAACTACAATGAATGCAATTTCAATAATTAAAAAAAAAATAAATAAATAAACTGGTTATTCATTTATGAAAATGAAACCTTAAATGTTTACCTTTCATATAAAATTATTTCATAATTTTTTCTAATGATGTATGTATTCTTTATTTAATCATGTTGAAATAAAATTTAACATATTTTATAATTAAGATTTTTACATTTGTTAAATTCTGCTAATGAATGGTAAAATTTATACCATATGAATTACCATTTACTATATTCCAGGGGTTTTCAAACTTTGTCGACTCGTAGAATCTTTAGAAATATTATGTTTTGGTACGCTTCTGTTATCGGGACCAGACCCAGAATGGGGGTAAGTGCAGAATCACCCACTGCTTGGCACGTTTTTAAGAATTGCATATACAGTCAAAAATCTTTAATCCGGACTCGTCAGGACTTCGGCGATTTCGGATTATCGGTTCTTCCAGATTATAGATCATCAGTTTAAACCTGGTAAGATGGCATGCAGAAATTATAAAATTAAAAATATGAAACCGTAATTTATGAAATAAAGAGCAATTATGATCTAAAGGGTATCAGAATTTACCAAAAAAAAAGCTTAATATTTATTTGTTTACCTTATTAAGCATTTCTTTCAATGCGCGCATGCGTAAAGCACACACTACGCATAGTCAAAACTAGAAAATTGCAACCAGAAAACTATTTGATGTGTATTCGTGATATTTATAATGACGAGGAATTTGATTTAAATCATATCAAAGACGGAGTACATCGAGATGAAATACTACATTTAGTAAAGAATTATAAGCCGAATAAAAATAAAAACATCTGCTTTGAAGATATGGATAGTGCTGATAGATCAACTCTCAGTTAATTGCGCGCCGTGATGCCCCCCCCCCTGCAGAGCAGCGTGAAATTGATAAACAAATTTCGGAATGGTTAGACAAACAAAGGATCTGCTTTTACCCATTTTTTGCAGCCACTTTTTGTTTGATGGACATCAAAACATGCTTTCGCTTTGTAGATCTTTTGGCAGCTCCAGAGAATCGGAAATTCTTTTTGACATAATCGAAAGTTCAAGCTTACTTTTATAAAATTGCTCTAACAGTCTCCAAAAAATAATAAGCCGGATCCAATTAGAAGATTAAGGAACAACACAATCTGCAACATTAACTGAAATAGATAATAAGATAATTTTAGCTTAGCTTATACCATCCGTTATACATTAGACGCGCATGCGTAAAGGTACTATACTCATGCATAAATGCATATGCACATGCATGAATGATACACATGCGCAGAAAGTCTGTAGCTTCGAGGTCCAGATTATAGATCATTCCGGATTATGGACGTCCGGATTAAAGACTTTTGACTGTACTTGTTATCCATGTACACATCGACCTATTTTCACTTAAAAAAAATCTCAGGATTGCACATAAATGGCATTGCGCACTCTTTTGAATTTATCCATGTACATATCGACCTATTTTCATTTAAAAAGTCGAAGAAAATTGACAAAAATCCAATTCTTCCTACTCTTGTAACAAGCGTGAAACAAGTAAGTGGGCGATTATTCACTTTACCCCCAGAATGTATGTACATATGTGCATATATGTATATGTGTGTATTCACACATCTGTATATGTACATACATAGATACATGCATACGTGATCACATCCATCCATGCATACATACAATTCTAAATCATGTCCCGATAACAGAAGAGTACCTTTAGTGGCTGGGGTCTGCTTGCATTTTTTCAGACAAACTGTCAAGGCATAATTCTACTGATGCTATCTGAAGTCAGATTTCATTTTGCATTTAATATGTTTCTATATTTTATTTTTGTATCCAAATACATTCGGACAGATTTTTCACTTATGCTACCCCAAATGGTATTAAAATGCTTATAACTGTTTGAGAAACTTCTGAGTATTATGCAAGAATCTAGAACCAAAAACGTTGCTGCTGATATCGTGTTTCAGGGCAACCCACACTCCGAAATTTCTGATTAATTTTCAAAGGTAACTAAATATAGCCTTAATTTTTTTGTTGATAAACATTAGTCAATTGGTATGAGTACTTTATAATTATCTTTTCAACTTTTCGTTTTGATTTAAGGAAACTTGAAACATGAAGACCACTGCTGTATTCATAAATCGTTTTTATGCTAATCTTCCAGGAAAGATAAAAAAAATAAATGCTAAAATAATAAATTACACCTAGATCAGTTAGAATAGTTTAACCCTCTGAGCGGCCAGTGTTTTCACTAAGAAAGCACAAATTTTCCAAAACTACTATGAGAACAAATTATTTTTTTAGTTTTAATGCAAAAACTTTGCTGGTATTTCATACTTGGATTTTTGATATATTGTCTTTGACATGTTTTAATATGCACGTATATATACGTTCTTACAGATATCACAAAAATATTCTTGCCGCCTAGAAGGTTAATATGTTTCACCTAGATAAATAGCTAGAATTCCTTTAACTGAAGAAAACATTAACAAGAATCATTTGAAAAATTTCAGTTCTCTTTTTATCAGCATAAATTTTATGATGACAATCAAAATGACTCTTATAATTTTGGAAAAAAACATATCTCAGTTAAGTAACTGAAAATCATAAATAGTCCATCACATTTTTTTTACTAGGTATCTTCTTAGGAATCTCATTTTCACATCCCATTTGCTTGTTGTCTGTTCAATTTCAAAAAGAACATTGTCATTTTTTTAAATTCACATTTATTAAATTCCTTAAGCTATTTTGCACTTATAAACACCATCTGCAACAATCTGTTCCACTGGACAGGAGACATTATCCAAAACTTGCAGGTTTCTGCATTGTAAATTCAAAGACGCAATAAATAAAAATTCTACTGTTTATGTACACACAATTTTGCAACATTCTTCCACTAAGCATTAGATGCCTCTATTTGCTCACTCAAGTTAGAAATAGTCAAGAATTATAACTTTTTCTTATAAGAAGTAAATATATGGAAACTTATTTTCTGAAATGAGACTAAACAATGGAGGAAATTTTTATGTTCCCATATAAACATAAAACACAGGATATATCAATATATATACACTGCTGGCCACCGTGAATGCAACACCCTGAAGGAAGCATGCAAATAAAATGAAATTTACAACATGCATTAGTGGAGGTGAGATATGCCAATGATTAAAATTTCAGCACAGACACACATCACGTGTGCCTATGGCACCACTTCAAAGCGCTATAAGGCTTGGAGTTTTCGACGATATCAAGTTCGGCAATAGTGTTTTTTTCAAACAAAACAATCAATTATGCCTCATAGTAAACAGCGATCATCATTTGATAGTGGCCTACCGAGAGTGTGAAATATCTTTTAGGGAAATCGGTAGATGTGTTAGATGAAACCAAACAACTGTAATACGGATATGTAACCGTTGGATGCAGGAGGGTACGACGGACCGACGTGTTCACCTCACACTTGCGATCACCTCAGTGCACCACTTCACGTGATGACAGGAACATTGTGCCCACGGCAACGACGGATTGCTCAGTCACACCACAAACCATAGCACAGCACATTCAGTCTGTAACACATCATCTAGTGTCTGCATGTACCATTCGACAGCGTTTACAGCAGAGAGGTCTATCCGCAAGACGTCCATTGCTTCGTCTACCCTTGACGCAGAACCACAGGCGTCTCCGCCGCCAATGGTGCAATGAAAGAAGGATGTGGACGGCAGAATTGAATGAAATTGTCTTTACTGACAAGTCACGCTTCTGTGACCGGAGAGCCGGCTCGCTCTCCGGATCTTTCGCCGATAGAAAGCACGTGGTTCGAAAAAGCATTCATTCATGGTAAGTGCATTTTTTTAATTCTTGTTCTTATTTTGTAAAATATTATGTTAATTGTTTTTTAGTATGAATATCTGTCCTTATTGTTGTTGTTTTGAATTGTTTGAAATTTATTTTAGTTTATTTTGTTGATTAGTGCATAGTGCCTAGATTGTGCAATTCGTAGATGTTTTTTTAAAGTTGAAACAGAATGCTGCGTACATGGTATTCTTTGAAATTTATTGATGTTATGTTAATTTATTAAAGCGAGGTGTGCTTAGTTCGTAATTCTTTCGCTGCCTAGATTGCAATTCGTAGATATTTTTTTAAAGTTGAAACAGAACATTGTGTACATGGTATTCTTTGAAATTTATTGTTGTTGTGTTAATTTATTAGAGCGAGGTGTGCGTAGTTCGTAGATTCTTTCGCTGCCTAGATTGTGCAATTCATAGATTTTTTTTTTTTTTTAAGTTAAAACATATTGCTGTGTATATGGATTCTTGTGAAATTTTTTTGGTTAGAAATTTTACGTTTTTGTTATCTAAATTTTTTGTTTTTGTTTCGGATTTTTAGCTCAAATTGTGTGTTCAAAACGTGGTTTTTGCATGTGTGAAAACCGAATTTTTGAAGACATTTTAGGCTTAAAGTTCAAATTTCATTTAAAATTTAGATAGTAATATGGCACCATGGAGTTTCTGGCCAAAAATGTTTGGCGCGAAATTCGGCAACTTGAGGGTGCATATAAGAGTAGTTCAGTTTTTTTTTTAAGTGAAAATAGTAAAAAAATGTGTACATGGATACCAAGTCTGTGCAATTCTTTTTGTCTTGTTATTTTGTTTTTGTGTAGTGGCGATTTTTCGCGCAAAAATCACCGCTACACAAGCCAAAATAACAAGCCAAAGAATTGCACAAACTCGGTATCCATGTACTGCCAAAAGTCACCAAAGGGTTACCCATAAATTTTACTGAAGTTTTTTCTTCCCCCATCGACCTATTTTCACTTAAAAACACATCAGAAATTTGCACAAACTTGGCATTGGGCACTCCCTTGTCTTTGTCCATGTACATATCGATCTATTTTCACTTAAAAAGTCAAGGGAGCAACCAATTCTACAGTAGACAAACAAAAAATACATAATCTCAATAAACTACATTTTAAATCAAACAACATGAAAAAGGAAATTCATCTCATGCATCTAAGCACTACACAAAGCAAATATCCACCTATCTTATTTAGAAATATCTGCATCTTTAGTCTGTCGCACACAAAATTGATTAACAGCATCCAAAAACTTCCTAAAATTATCTGAACTAGAATCCATATATCGGCGGCGCCACATAAATTCACAAAAATAAGAATAAAAAATATCCTACAACTTTCAACCATATGCATTTTCTTCCTACAAACAGGGCACTTATAATGGCTATTACGTAAACCTTCATTTACACAACAGTCAATTAATGCTTGTTTCCCCTTTCATTCCAAATCATACAGAAACTTCAAATTAATCTTACCACAATCAGCCATTCTACTGTCTAAATTAACGGTCACTAACCAGTGGTCAGTGAA